TTTTTGACGATTATGCCTCGTTGTGGTGGTCGTCTGCAGTAACACACTCAATAGAGCGGCCCAACCGTCGGAGACGGTGTATATATCTCTCAGGAGTGCGGTCTGCGCCCCGTTTCGGAAGAGATCGGTCATAGTGGTCACTGCGGGAATAATTACTCGAACGCAGCACGCATTGCAAACGGGTACTCCTAATCGCCTCCCCTGGTACACCTTCGACACGCCCAGCCTATGTAACTGACTATCAAACCACCACACACACATCTATGGTTCTACCGTACATCTCGTGCGGGCTGCTGGTGCGCCACATAGGTTCTTGCCTACATTTTGTCGACGAACGTTATCCCTTAACCCCCCGCCCCCCGCCTTACCCACCGCGACTTTTGCCCGCACCTACTTGTGAAAACAACCACAACACACGACAAACCCGCACGAACGTGTTGTTATGCGTGCCTGGACACTGGACAACAACCAGCGTCGGCACCGGGGTGGCCACGTTAGCGTCGGGAGTCAACTACCTCCTTGTGTCCGGGCTGAAGCCCAAGGGAAGGCTCGGCAAGCGCCTCATGATTCAGAGGCAGAACCTTCAGGAGCGGTACCGCGAGAGGGAGGTGCTGGTCAGGGAGAGGATGGGGGCCGGGCGGGAGCGCATGCGGGTCAGGAAGGTGCGCGTGTGCTGCCGCCGGCTGCGTTGATGACTCCGCCTTTCTTGCTGGATTTATTTTGCCCCCTGGCGTGTTTCTCGTGGGATGTATTTGCTGTAGTGGGGGTGTTCGTGTGCAAGGGAAGGCAGAGTATATCAAGTGTGCCCCTTGCTTCCGCGCAGCCAATCTTGCCGCCCTTTACACCGGGATGTAATCTCCAACAGCGCTAGGCAACACGCCATCCGTTCACCAATTTCATCATCGCTTTGAGTGCCGGGAAGCAGTATCGACGAGTCCACCCCCCCAAAATGATGACTTCGCAAGTTGGACTGGAAGCAAGGGTCCCTCCTGCGTGTCGTTCGATTCGAGGGCTCGAGCTGCGGAGGGATAGCTGGCTGTCGAAAACCTCCCTATGACAAACAAGAATCGCCGTTCTTATGAATACGAAGCGATAACGTTTTATTCTTCGACTCACCAAGAATAACTACGCATGCAACGTGCTTTTTCGCTGCCCCTTCCCAAACCCCACCACGCTTGTGTGCTCTTAAGGGCGAGCTCAACGATAGGCTGAAGGCGAGGCGGCACAAGGTCGCTGGGGCTTTGAAGGACCGGATGAGTAGAGGAAGGCGGCAGAGAGCCGTCGACGGTGGGACCCGTGTGAAGGGTCGGCCGGCGAACAGGGGCGGGTGAACAACATCTTCCCTTCAGGTGACAAACATTTTTTGTTGTTGCTGCTGTTGTTGTTGTTGTTGTTGTTGTTGTTGGTGGTGGTGGTGGTGTTGTCGTTGTCGTTGTCGGAGTTGGTGTTGCTGCTGTTAGTGTGGTCATGTATTTAGTGATAGTGTCGTCTTCGCCGCGTTGCACCAAGTTACACGAGTAATGGGCCGTTCTCTCGACCGTCTCACGATCGATCCCTAACTTCACCTGTCCTGTGCCTCTCGTCTGCCCTGCGCCAGGTATCGAGCCTATCATAAATCCGAGCGACCGGAATGACAGCGAGAGTGGCAAACGGTATACGGTATACGGCATGCGTGACAGCGCTGGAAGACGATCGTGCGGACTAGAAACATGTTTTGCATCCGTTGACCACGCGTCTTCGAGGGGAGGGTGGAATGGAGACTAATGCATCCTTGCTATTAATCCTTAGACTCATGAATGATAAATGCATAGCTCGGTTGAGCCTTGTATTATTATAGATTTATCTTCTTGGAAGATGCAGGCAGAGGGCGGGGCGTAGATTGCGTTCCGTGGAATGTTACCATTTTAGACCTTTTGTACCATAAACATAGACGGGACGGCACGCCGCGCCCAAGACACGCCCCCTGTGTGCCCCCATGCCTAGACTGAGTATGCTGTTATTTTGTGTTGTTCTCAGGCTTTTTGGTGGCACTCGGTACAATTATTCACTTTTTTCTAAGATAAACACCGGGTACTTGCGTCATAACCCGGTTGACCTTTGCTGTTTACTTGGCGGGCTGAGGGCGTTCCCTGCGGTCTTCCCAAATCTCCCAATCTCCCGATGAAATTTGCCGATCGCCCTCTGTGCGGCGTGCCAGTCACGCAAGGGCGAAATATTGACATCGGCATACCCGTAAAAGGGGGATCGGGAGTGGTTCCAGCCAATCCACAATCCGGCAACCCTTGTGGACATTGTGTTTGCAGCGGTTGCTGTACCAGTACCATCTTGTTTGCGCTTCTCGGAACCAAGCTTGATTGGGATGGTGCGCATATACTGCAAATGCTTCCGCTCTGTCAGAACCATTGTTTTTTTTCATTTTTTACTTTGTTTTATGTTGGCGAGCAGTGTGATAACCTTGACGGCGTTCAGACTAGGAAGAACAGGTGGTTGAAGCTTGTCAAAATTTGTTTCCGCACTGAAAACTGAGGGCATTGTGAGGTCGGTGCGTGTACGCGGTAAGGAAGGGTGTGGCAAGGAATGGCCGCCCTCGGTTTTTCCTCTCAATTCCCGGGATTAGACCTCGCAGTACGACTTATTTCACGGGAGATGGAGCACGCATCGGGATTGCAGCGGGGCTGTCGTCGTGTGGCATTGCTTTTGCTTACGTACGGCCAACGGAGCAAATTGCCTGGGTATAGATGGCTCTGCGCTTTGTTGAACCCTCCGGCCAGGAGACTTTGATTTTGCTGTTGTGGTACGTGTCCTGTCAGCAGAACGCCCTCTTCAGCTCTGTTGTGAGAACACATGCGAAACAGCGCAGCAGTAGATGCACTGAACAGAATCCTGTTCGGGACCACCCTCGCTAAAACCCACTCGAGACACGGTTGTCATCTTCCAGAAACTGTCAACGCCTTCCGTAGCGGGGACAACGCATGCCTCCTCCGACTACACGTGTCCATCGGTACTACCTACGCTTGGTGACCTGCGGACACGGACACGTTTTATCCATCCTCGGTGTCGTGTCAGGCTTTGCGCTTGACCGTGGTCGAGCTCCTCGCCGACCGCACGTGACCGCCGACGTTGTACCCCCTCAGGCAAGCGTAAGGGTCCCACGTTCCTTGCCCCTGCTCCGGTTGCCTGTCGTCTCGGATGAGCTTCACGTTTTGAGTCAGTCCGGGGTCGTTGCCATCGGCGATGTTGCTGACCTTGTACACGCGAGTGCTCAAGAGCTTGCTAGTCTGGAGGGCAGAGTGTGATGAGCGCGCAGAGCGGCGGGGGGCGGGGTAGAGAAAAACGAGAGTGCATAACGGATCTTCCACCCACGTGTGTTTCTATTATCCATCATTTGAGCCGTGTTGTCGAGAAACGTACATGATCTTCTTGCGTAGACATCAGCCCTTTGCGAGTAGAAACACTGTCTTCCGGTGAGTATTTCATTTCAGGACAAGGGACATTGTGACCCGTTTCCTCCGCGCACATAGCTGCTCACTCTAAGCCCGAGTTAAAGAGTTTGAGATACGCTACAGGGACACGACGTTGACAGAAAGAGGAGGAGAGGCTTACATGGTTGGCTATGCCCGCTGGGGTGTAGCCCATGTCCTTGACGAACATCTCAGCCGGAGCAACGTCGGCGCTAAACTTGTCCCTGCCGCCCCTTCTTTTCGCCCCGCCACCGCCGGAGCACCCTGTCATCATGTTCTGAGTCGATGCAAGAGCGTTGCCAGCTTGAGCCCGTCCGACGACCGTGTTCTCCGCAAGAGCGCAACTTCTATCGCCACCGCCATCACGCCCTACTTCCCCGTCCTGAGTCTGCCCGTCGCCACCGATATTTCCATACGTACAAGATTTTGAAGCCCGGCCCGCCTGCTTCCGAGCCGCTCCTCCGGCAATTTCAGGAAAGATGACCTTGAATCGGGCTATCTGCTTTTCTCGGTACCCTATGATGAGCTTCTGAGCGTCGTGAAAGCTCACGAGTCCCGAGGCATCTCTTGGCAAGGTTGACAGCAGGTCGACGACCTCCCCTCGGGTGACTTGTCGGCGATAGCCGCGGCCTTTCGCCGTCTTGAGGTGGCCGTCCGCCTGCGCGATGACCTCTTCCTTCTGGGCATCGTTCAAGACGAACAACGGCCTCCCGCCCGAAACATAGACCTTTGCGTTGGATCCATTGTTTCATTCGTACGGGTTGCATAGCATGCGACGTTAACCGGAATATTACTTCGAGAGAGGCTGGAGCATGAAGGAGCGTGCTGCGAAGCGATCGATGGCAACGGTGTAGGCTCGATGCTCATTGTTTTGGAGGGAAAGACAATGGATAATTCCGGGTGGCTATGGAAGCTCAGATGCTTTTGTTGTGACGAGGCAGCTCCAAGTGTGTCGACTGATAAGGATTGTGCATGTTGGTGGTGGTGTAGATCTCTATCGCCTACTATAAAAATGTCTCCCTCTTGGCAGTCCTCCAACCGGTGAGAGATTATATGTCAACAGTCATTATGGCTAAGGAGTATACAAAGAAGCGGCACACGGGTTCTGTTTGGGGTACTTGGATACAAGATCCGATCTGCAGAGAACATGTGTTCGGGGGGTGTACTGTTGGGGGTCCAAGTGCGGGCCCCCTCGTGAGAGCCCGCGCTTGTGTTACTGAAACAGGACCTGTACTGACTTTGGTCCGTGCTGGAAGAGCACGTGTGTGTTAATCAAGGATATATATCATCTGCATCGGTTCTCTGGGTTAACATAGTCCCCAGACAGACATCATACCGTGGGTGGGCACGGCAACCTCCGTGGGTGGTCACGGGAGTACACAAACACGATGTCGTTAATCGAATAAGTTCGACCGATGTCGGATTCTGAGGATGCTGCAGGAAAGGCAGCAGCTGCGGAGAGGGCAGCAGCCGCGGAGAGGGCGGTAGAGGAATTGAGGAAGAAAGTCCAACTAGCGATGGACAAGATCGCTGCGTTACAGAGTGCTGGGAAGGCAGCAGGTGGTCAAGCTGGGTTGGCAGCTGGAGGAGGTGTACATGCCGGGGGTGGGCCCGGTGGATCAGGGAGATTATTTTTTGACAAGGACGGAAGGATCGATCCAAATCAATTATTTTCAGAGAGAGAGGGGAAGAAGCCTCATGTGTGGTACGGACGGTGTATTCGATATACACTCGTAGCATAGCATGCGGGTGGTATATTGCGTATACATATGCGGGTATTGCAGTGACGAACTACGGAGGAACAAGAAGTTTCTT